GTAGCAAAATTTTGGACAAGGTCACTTTTGAAGTTTTGAAAAAGCACAGTGATGCTTTAACCTTGAAGTGACCAAATAACTCCTCATTGACAGAAATGTCAGACTCACCTAAAGGCAAGCTTCGGTATATATTTGGAAGGTGCATTGCAAAAAGTCGTTACCATTATATGAAACAGTCTATGAACAATATGTACAAAGCAGCACACAGAAATCAAAACTCAAAATTGGTACTGAAAGTTAAAATGCTAGATTCTCTAACCAAAACATATACATTCCTTGAAAATTCGTCAAAATATAAAGAAACACTGTTTCAAACACAAAGAAAGCAAAAATTGACAAACGGACTGACGAACACAAATGATGAATCATTTGAATTTATCACAAATGTAGAGAGCAAAAGATGTTCTTTGCAAACTGAACAGTCATTTTCAGGGTAATTCATTTTCAGTGTTTGGGGCAGATATGCCTATTTATACCTGAAATGAAATTTTGAGTGACAGTGGTATTTTTACAAAATGGAAAAACTTCTTTTCTGATTTTGAATTTAAGGATACTATTTTTAGGGTTAATATTGAAGATGCTAAAGATTGCTTGCATGAACTGTTCAAAGACGTCATTGAAAGGTCTTGCAGAATTGCGGATAATGAGTTTAGAAAGAAAATGCTTCATGTTCTGCAAAAAACAAAAACTGAACGATTGAGAGAGAGGGTTGATTTAAAGCAAAATGTTTCTTCAACTATTACAATGAAAAGTATATTTGCAGACAAATCTGACTGCAAACAAGGCTCTCATTTAAAATTAAATCACTTTTTTTTTAATTGTGGAATATCATGTTTGCATACTTTAACTAAGAAAGATTTATTGAAGCTGAGCTCTGCATATAATATTTAAGTGTCCTCAAATACAAAAAAAGATAAAATTAAAAAATTGCTTTGCTCAGTGATTCCTTCTTCAGATAAGATTAGACACCCTCAACACTTAAATGAATGTGGCCTTGTAGAAAAGAACCACCCCCCAGCAAACATTGACCTCTGTTGCGGAACATACCATACCCAGTCAGCCATCATCATTGCCATCATCAACTGCATTAGAACAAGCAGATTCTTCTAGAACCACAAAGAAAAACTTAAAATCCCCTGGCATATTTCATTCAATATTCGTGGGCTTGCTTCTCTCATTGAGAAGCACCAATCAAATTAAAGCTTTCATAAATAGTTAGATAAGGATTCAGTTGACACCTCAAATGCACATGTTATAAGTTGTTTATTATAGAGTGACTTAATGTTATTGGTTGAGATATAAGAAAAACTATCAAGATTTGTATTTTTTCCGAAAGACGTCGCTACAGTCAGCCCACAAATACTGAATGAAATATGCCAGGGGTCCAAAGACAACGTGTTGACTCAGGACCTCTTGCTTGCGAGGATGGAAAAAGAAAGCCCCAAAATGTAGGTTCACCAAGGAAAAATGTAAACAAAAGGAAAATATTTATTAATATGTCCTTTATATAAAAAAAAGTGTACAGTTGGGAAGACTGGATATCTTGTGACCTATGTGACACTTGGTACAATAGACAATGTCTTAACATAACTGACGATCAATGGACAGGAATTGAAAATGAGGATTGTTATTGCCCCAGTTACTTAAAGGAATGACTTCTCAAAAATCTGAACACTCTGCTAGATACCTTGTAAAATGTACTTTGTTTCTGCAGAATTTCTCCTATCAGAATCAGAATCATTTGTAAAGGTATAAAAAAAAAATATAATATTGTCATGAAATTTATCTACATGCATAAGTACAGTGAAATTTAAAATGATGTCTTTATGTTTCTGTCTTCCTTCTCCTTGGAGGAAATGAAAGAGCTATAGGTTTTGAAGAATTTTTGCAAGCTGCAATTGATTTTGTTGAAATTGTTGTCTGACCAAGAATCATACTATTAATTCCAGTTCTATACTCATTGTAGTTTGGGTTACTATTTCCACCATGATATAAAGCACGCTGCTGACAGAAAATGTTCTCGATAATATCACTATTGATTCGACTCGGAACAATATCAGTTTTTAACTCTAGAAGGGCCTTCTTTACTAGTGACATAAACCCATGATATGTGAAATCTATGTCTTCTCTTGTCTCCATGGTAATTAAAGACTTGTGTCTTTAATTTTCGTCCTTATCCTGCAAGTGCTCACATTCCCAAGCCTTAAAATAATTGTAGACTTCTGTGAATGATGTAAGTCTAGCATCCTTGATGTCTTTAATTGGTCTTGAATCAGTAAAGAAAGACACCATAGAGCTTGTATACTTTAGAAATTGAAGTACATTTACCATCTCTGCCTGTCCAGCAGCATTTAGTGTTTGACTAAAGCAAGTCATTAAATTCAACATATCTGAATCAAGAGTCTCAAAGGCTAACTTATTCCGCATTTTCTGCGAATTGTTGGGGAAAATATGTTCATCGCACAATTTATGGTGAATTCTGAAACTGTTTGTACATTCCCACTGGTAAGCATCCACCCACATTTTCCAAATTATAAAATGGCCATTTATTGTGAGAAGTCTTTGATGACTGGATAGGAAACCACTGCTTAAAACACTGTTTCTTATTTTTTTCAGCAAGTGAGATTGGTCCATCAAGAATATCATTGTGCGGGTTGGGTTCTTGTAACATTTAGCTATCATTTTCTTCTCAGTTGGATTGTTATCAGGGAAGTGCATTTTGATAAATGCCGTGTTATTAGCAGATCCATCCAGGCTAGAGTAAAGAGGTTTGAATCCCCAAGAATATAATGCATCAATACAGGTCCAAAATGTATGAAAAAATATCAGCAGGTGGTGTTTATGTGTTTGGAAAATCTGCAAAAGGCCGTCTGAACCCTGAAAATCCAGTAAAAACTAATTGTAAAACATGATTTGCTAATTAATAACCAGTCTTTCCAGTATTTAATAATTGCATTTGTTCAACAGGATCCCCACTGTCTGCAAGGCGTATGAACTTGGTTTCATTTTTAGTGTGTATAATTTGTAGATCCTCTTGTATCACCATTTCTTCTAAGATCAAACCACCATAATACCCTGTCAGTGTTATGTTTTGAGATTTAGCCTCATTACTCATCCATGACATCATATCTTGAGATATTCAAGGTCTTTGATGAACTGCATTTTTGTACCTTTGCAATAAAGACTCACATGGCAGGTTAAACCAATTATTCTGAATTAAATCCCTGTAAGCTGCTGGATTTCTATTGTACAGACTTAAAGCCATGCATATAACATCTTTGTCCCACCTCATTCCATTTTTACTTGTATTAGAAGCAGTTATTTGAGAAAGCATCAATATTAATTGATTTTGCTTCAAATTTGGAGCCAATGATTTCAATTTTTCCAGAGTCTCTTCCTTTGACATTTGGCAAATATTTTCTTTATCAGACATTTTTGTTTTGCAGTAGTGGTTTTTGTTTGTAAAAAATATTTGGCATTTTTCACATATTGATGATCTTGATTTTAATTGATTAAAATGCATGCGGTCTTTGTATCGCAAAATTGTCATTGTTTTACCATCTCGTCTACAAATCTCTTTTGTACAGTTTGAAATTTTTGCATATTTGTTTTCATCTCTTGATATATCATAACCTTAACATGGACAAATTACTTTCATGCTTCGAAATAATGCTGGAACAGAGATTACATTGAATTCTATCTCTTGTGAAATGTATTGTACAAAACTATTTATTTCCTTATCATCTAAAGAAAATGACATTTTGTTGCTTCTGTTGATTGTTAATTGCATAAAAGGATTCCTTCCAGTAAACTGAATGTCTAGAAAATGCCCAAATACTATTGCATCTGCCTTTTACAACAAACCAATCACCTAGCATCATGTTTGATATATTTTCTACTGCAGTACTGCAGTCTTATCAATGTAAGATGCAAGCGCAATATTCTTGTAGCTTTGAATTGGTTTTCCATCTATTTTGCTTCTTGTTTTGGATTTCACAGAATTAGGAAAAAGTTTTAAAATTAAGCTATTGATAATTTTGGGATATTTATTTCCAGGAATACTCTGATTTTGAAATATGCCACATATTGCTTGAAGACTTAGGGTTCTGCCTGGAACTTCAACGATTTTTTCACATATCGTGTAAATAAAAATTATGTTCTAATTTCAATTTGTATGCTTGAACAGATGTACACCAGTGTTCTCTCCAGACAATTATCATTATTTGCTCTTTATTTCTACATGTACCTTGCATCATTTTTTTAACAATGTTGTGCATTCATTTTCCTGGTTTTCACTTTAAAAGTAAAATTATTGTGCTTCACCATATGAAAAACATATAATCTGTAATTTTGTGTTAAATTCATAAATATAATTTATAAATTGATCAGTAATTTTAAAACCTTCAATTTTTGGGGGGAAAAACACTGTATGGATGGAAAAGAATAAAAAAGAATTATTATTGTGATTACAAAAATACTACAATTTAAAGTTTTAACTGTTTAAGAGGGAATTTATGTAAAAAATTAAAATCACTAGACATTACAAAAAACTTTGTTGACAGCATTGATAAATAGAAGGCTTGTAAACAATGTCGTTTAACTTTTTAATAAAAAGAGTTTCTTCCCAATAATTTTTTTTTTAATTTGTTATCATTTTTTTAAGTTACAAAATAGTATTATTTCATACACTTCATAGGATTGCCTCTTATGCAGTATTTTTTTTAATGCATGCAGTAGGACATATATTCAACACAGCAAGGACCTCGTTCTTTTAAAAAATGGTTTTAAGTCACTGTGAACAAAGAACTGCGAACGATAGCATTTTCCCCCGCCTACCTCCAAGTCAATTTTCAAAAGCTAACACATTTGTAGGATTTTTCATATCTATATAGATATTTTTATGAATTTTTATAAAACATTGTTTCTTTGGGAAAACAAAGAGAGATAACTCTATAATGGTGAACCGTCTCCTGTTATCTTTCCTTTAGGGGGCGCCACAGGAAAACTCGGTCCTGAATCGGAATAACCCTCGCGCTTTATCTATAGTGAGTTATCTATAAAACGTAAACAAACCGCTGTCAAACACGTTGTGAATCATGCCTGAAACTTGTTGTGTGCCGGAATGTAGTAACCGGGGTGGTCATGTATTTTCATTAGACCCATTAAGAAGAAAATCTTGGATACATGCAATTAAACGGGGAGAAACTCGTTTTCAGAGCTGGGAACCGTCTACTCGTGCGGTTGTATGTCGTGCACATTTCAAAGCAGACGACTATGTAACTGAAACCTCGCACGGTATTTATTCATTTATTTCTGTTTTTTATTTAATAATTTTACTTGTTGAATATATCTTTTATTCTTCCTTTAAATTAAAAACATGTAATATGAGAAATCAACAAATTATTCAACGTGTCAATTAGTAAATACAGTAGTGGTACAAAGAGATGTACAGCTACATGGCGTGACCCCCGCTGACTGATTTGGATTAGCCTGCTGAAACCAAGAATTAAATATGCAAGAAACATGTATAAAAGGCATCATGCTGCTCTTGTTAATTGCCCGATGCATATCTAAGAAGATTTTGTCTTTGTGTACTCTACTAAAAGCAGATACTATTTCTTATCACACTGTGAAAATATGTAGCAGATTCCTCAATAAATTAATGATTTAGGGTAACATGACTGTGTTTTAAGACTGCTGCTGGTAAAATTATTGTTTTGATAAAATTACGAGTTGAATCCATTGTTTTTATTATTTTAACCAAAAAGAAAAAAATGTATAATAAAGGTAAAGAAATATTTAACATTTCTAATAGGGTGAATTCACCATGCATCGGACACCCTCGCACTTCAACAAGATCTAGCGATATCGCTACCCACCAAATATTATCAAAATGGAGCTTAACATGTAGTATGTGGTTAAAATATAAATTTTTGACTCAATCATGTGCTATTTATTGAGAAAATATCACTAAAAAACGATTTATTCGAAATAAGTCAAAATTCACCATGGTTCGGACAATATTCACCATGCATCGGACATACGGTATTTTGAACCGAAAAAATATCATACCTTGATCTCGGTGCTTTAAAATTAGTAATGTCGAAACATTTTTATCTTTTATTTAAAAATTAACCTTATAGTTAAATTTTAATGACTATTTCGATCCACAAACGTGAAGAGATTTTAGGTGCATCACATCGCCTTAGAAAGGCTTTACAATGCTAGTAATATGCCATCTCGCGCCTTTTTCTCGTGGGTTATCATCATCCAGTTCAAAAAAAAAATAAATTGAGTCCACTTCTAATAGTCATATATCGATAACTTGTATTTTCACTGAAAATTTAGAGTTTTTATTTTCTATTTCCACAAAAAAAGCTGTCGTTTGGGTTTTATATGAAAATATAAGTGATTATACCCATGCATCGGAAAGTGTCCGATGCATGGTTAATTTGTGTTCGATGTGTGGTGAAATAAACATACTCGTAAAAAAACAACTCTAAAAAATGTTCTACAAACAATGTAGTAAAATTTTTTAAAAATTGCTTTACAATTATCAATCTTTGACAAATATTACCTAGGTCCGACTCGTTCCGTTGAAGTCTATTTAAAAGAACGACAACTCTAAAAATTGCAAAATCGTAAAATTCTGGTTACTCCCCATTGATGATGCAAAATATGACGTAATTTCAAGGCCATTCTAGTGGTATTTTTATCACAGCATGAAACTAAAAATCGGCATCATTAAAAAGTTTAAATCTTCACCTTCAAGACAGAAACTAGTAAAAAAAAAAAAAAAAAGAAGGGACACTCAGGTTCAATGAAAGTTTATTGCTTAAAGTTATGTGTCCGATGCATGGTTAACTCACCCTAAGTATGAACTTATATTTAATAAAGGAACAACACCACTGAATAAAAGATTGAAGAAAAATGCCATTCCAAGCATATTCCCCTGGGTTGAACCTAGTCCCCATTCAGCAGCCAGAGCAAATAGAGCAAAGTCTCGGGGAGTCAAAAGAAAACTGGCAGAAGAGTTTTCAGCATCAGACGATACTGAACTTGTATATTGCACCGAGTCTGATGATCTACAAACTGTAGAGGAAATTGTTTCTAACTCAAGTGTGATACCTGCGGGGTCCGTTGAAGTTGTACAAGATTCAAACATTTATTTTCATAATGTCCAGACACAGACCCCACAGTATCCTCCAATGAGTGTAGACAATTTCATTAATGATGACGCTGGAGTACACTTTTACACTGGACTTGAAACATTGGTTAAGTTTTATTTTGTCTTGAGAACCTTGGGGCCTGCTGCATATTGTTTAAATTATGTATATCACGAAGTGTCAAGTATTAGTGTCCCAGACCAGTTTTTTTATGGTTCTTTGTAAGTTGAGACGTCATACTACCAATTTTGAACTCTCAAGACTTTTTGGTGTCTCTGAAAAAAAAAACAGTTTCAAATGTTTTCTTTACCTGGATTCTTTTTATGAGTAAGCAATGGGAAGAAATTGATATATGGCCTTCAAAACACCATGTAAAGTATTTTTGTCCATCAGACTTCAGAGCTAAATTTCCAAACACAAGAGTAGTCATAGATGGTACTGAATGCCTATTAAAAGACCAAAATTACCAAAATCACAGCAGGCTACATTTTCAACATATAAAAATCGTAATACTGTGAAGGTTTTAGTTGGAGCAACTCCTGGAGGGCTAACTTCATATATTTCTACATCATTTGGGGGGTCAACTAGTGATCGCCAGATTGTAGAACGAAGTAGTCTTTTAGACATCTGTAATTCTGGTGATTCCATCATGGCAGATAAAGGTTTTAATGTTCAAGATATATTTATATATAAACATATTCAGATTAATACACCAACTTTTTTAAGAAAGAGAAATAGGATGTTATGTGCTACAGTCATCAAAGACAGGAAAATATCCAGCAAACGTGTTCACATTGAACGAATTATTGGGCCTGCTAAAACCTATAAAATTTTAAGTGAACCAGTGAATAGTTCAAAAACGAAACTTTCTACAGAAATAATATATTGTTGTTTTATGTTGTGCAATTTTAAAAACTGTATCGTTCCATCATATGCATGACTTGAAATGTCTTCAATTACTGCTATGTATAATTGTACATTTATAAGAAAACAAAATAAAGATATATATATATATATATATATATATATATATATATATATATATATATATATATATATATATATATGGTTTATAATCATTTATTACAAATACATTGACCTTCGTAGGTTTTGTAGAATACCTTTTCAAGTAGAGCAGGTTTGAAGTAGCTTTCATAAAATGCATTTAAATTGTTTCTCATTTCAGTAATGAACTGATCATTTCTTTCAATTGTGAAGAACAGAAAATCGTTAAACGTATACACAACAAACACACAATTCTTCTTGTTTGTACATAAAAGTTGACCCTGAACCTGATAATAATAATCATGTTTTTCATCAAGGAAAAACTTACTACAAGTCTGTCGGATATATGGAACAGTTTTAGATGTTATAATATTGTTTCTTGATACATAGGGGTATTTCACTTCAATAATTGTATCATTATCGATGATGCTATCGGGTGAGGCAGCAAAATGTGGGGCTTCCAAACAATACATATTCCACTGCCAGTTATTTCCTGGTATTTCTTTAGGGAGGTTTTTTCATATTTCTTTCCATGAAGAATGGGATTTGTTGAAAGTTTTTTGCCCTTTTGGGTCAAAGTCTGGGCAAGTTTAACTTTATCTGTTCTGTCCGTTGCTTTACAAATCCTCCCATATACTGATGAGTGTAAACGTTCGCAGCGTTCCTCATACCAGAGGTCATTGTTACATTGGTTTATTGTTTTCAAGTGCAGTTGTCGCGCACTTTCCTGAGAAATTTCTGCTACATTCAGTATCTTCAATATTTGCTGGCTACATGTATCACTAAAATAGTCATGGTCAAAGTCAAAGGCCCTCATATTTGCTGGTTGGTAAATCTGGAATATGGGAGTTTTGCTTATGCCTTGAAAATTTAAGCATACATTGCTAAAATAAGACACATATCCTGGATTTTTTTGAAATTCTGGGGGTCTTGGGTCATACTGGGAATTACATATTTCATCACAGCCAGGCATATCAAGTTGATTTGCCTTCAGGGGAGTTCCTTTGTATGGTTTTGCATGATGAAATGTCTGTATTCTTTGGGTGCATGTAAGTTCCGTTTTAATAATTCCCCGCTTCAGAAAATCTGCACATGCAACCAACACGGCACTTGCGTGTTTACAGTGAGCATCTGGTCCCATACCTGCAGCACATTCTCACTGACATTCCTGAACACTTTTGTCCTGTTCTAGCTTGACATCGACTACATACTTCACGGATTTCATCATCGACGCTTTCACTGTACTTCTTACAAACCAGTGTTCATCATGGAAAGTCACCCTGACATACTGTATAAATCCATCATTGTACATATCTGTTGCTTTCTTGTCCAAAGATTTATTGAATTTTGACAGAAAGGTTAAGATTTCTGAGTCCAAGCATCCTGGAAATGTGCTGTCTTTATGTAGATCCTTGTATTCCTGGGGATCAGGGGGTAATCATCGTAAATTCTTGCACAGGAACAGTGTCGGTTTTTGCACAATGTGTATTTCTTCTGTATGCTTCAAGCCTGTAAACATCAAATAAAAATCCCTAATTTAAGCTTACAACAATCTATTTATTAGTCAGAACTTTTAAAACGTTCAAGCATTGACAATTTGTATAGATTATAAAGAACTCATCAATTTTTTTTATTTCATGCATATTTTATGTCGATGATAAAAGTAGAGGAAATTCGGGATACACGATAAACGACATTCTCTCGTTCTTATGACGGTTTAATCATCAGGGTTTTTTTTTCACAGAAAAGCTCAGTAACTAATTTTCTATCATTTTTGTTCTTTTTAAAAGTGCAGTAAGCCCAAATATTTATTTTAAAGCACAATTCAGTTAAAATCGAACTTTTGTTTACCTCTCAACAAGCTCCCATTTTCTTCCCGTTTTCTTAGCACCAAACTTTTCTAACTCAGCCCGGAGCTCTCGTATTGTCATAGCACCATAATTTGATGCCATACTTCAAAACTTAAACTTGTACACATCTGCTTTCTTCGATATCGAACTAAAGAATGATGCTGAAGATAAGCCATCATTGCAATTGTTATCAGATTTGTGTTGGACGGCATTTTCCTGTGGCGACGTCTATCGGTACAAGATAAGATAACTGACGCCGGTTCACCATTTTGGTAAAACTTGTGTTTTTCACTATAGAAATCAACGGAAAACGGAAAATATTTTTAAACATCTCCCCCCCCCTCCCCCCCCCCCCCGTGAAAAAAAATTCCTTTTTACAGGTAATATGGACTATTGTTTCTCAAATTCATGTCAAAGCTTTTTGTGTTTCACGGGGGGGGGGGGGGGAACTTATGTCTACAGACAAAAAAACCTACAAAATTGCTTATTTTTTCCCCAATTTCAAAGGGGTTTACAACTAAAGCATCGCATTTTATTGATAATATATGTTTAATTTTACATGAGTAAAACATAAGAAAAGATTTAAGGAACATTTATTCATATCCAAGAATATTTTAAAATGTGGTGATACTTTAAAGCCCAATTTCAATGTAAAATATCGTCTACCCCCCTTATTTAATTAGTTGGAATTAGGGGTAATTAACTATTTAACACTGGAATTAAAATTAACAGTCAGTTACCATTGAACTGTTCTTTGCATTCAACAAAGATTTTACGGCCAAATTGCCATTAGTATTGATTTAAATGGGTGTAAAATGTAGGCGGGAACCGAGAGTTAGCGTGCGTAGTTCTTCAGAATCAAATCATTATTACTGCATATAAAATGATATATAACTATATAAATATTCTTCATTTATATAAAATTTTATGAGAGGGGATGGGGTCACCATGCCCTGTCCTCCAGTCATGTGACTATGCAATTACCCCTCCATCAATTCCCTGTTACTATAACAGTGTTCTATTTGAGACAAAATTTCTGTTCTCTTCACAATGAATCATGATTAGGGGAGCACCTTTACGTAAAAATCATAAATAGGGCCCCGCAAGGATTCGCGGGTGCCCTATAGAAATCGCTCTGTCTGTCTGTCTGTCCGTCTGTCATTCTTCCGTCCACAAATTTTCTGTTTTTTTTTACTAATAACTTTTTTTAGGGTTGACCAATTAAGTTCAAATTGGGTATGCTGGTTGAATAGACAGTAAGACATATTTTGATGCTAAGTTTGGTTGTCATCCGGTTTGGAGCTGGGGTGGTGGGGTAGATTCCTTAACTTTATATAAGAGTGAATGGGCAAAGAGAGATAACTGCTGAGAATGTTTCTAATGTAAACTATGAAAGGCTGCAATGAGTCTCTTGAGATTAATTAAATTTCCTCTTGAAGAAAATCCAAAGCATTTATCTTTATCTGCCACATTGAGATTAATTAACACCTCTGTCTGCAAATGAAGTTTGTTTTGAAGTTAAGGTCAATTCTGCATGATGTTTACATTCTCTGAAATGTGGATTTAAATAATGTTCATACTTTATTTTGGTAAAATACACAATGAGTTATGATTTTATTGAATTCTAAAGACAAGATATACATGTAGATAAAGATATTTTTTTATTATGATTTTCTTTTTTTTTTCTGCCTTATGTAAATTCAAGAAAAATATTTATTTTAACAGGTATTCAGATAATAACCTCATTCTATCATTGCTGAAAAAGTTCTTATTGCAAACTTAGAAGAAAAGGTTGAGATAGCAGTATAATTAATCCCCTGGGATTGATTATCTTGCTGGTTTGCAGAAAATTTTAGAGGGTTATCTTTCTGTCACTTTAAGATTACTTAACACCTTTGTCTGAAACTGATATTTGTTTTGAAGTTAAGGTCAAGCCTGGGTGATATTTTCATTCACTGAAGGCTGGCATTTTAGGAAACACATGCTTCATTCTTCTTTAAATTTACATTTAATTTAGTTATTATAGATATGATGTTTTACTGCCTTATGTAAATACAAGGATACTATTTACAGGTTGGATATTTAGCAGTTGCTGTCGTTTATTCTTTATATATATTTAATTTTTTGTAATCAAGTAAAATTCTCATCCCTCAATCTGCACCCTTATATTTCTACCCCTCGGTGGGGTCCTTGCTGACTGGTCAGATTTCTAGTTTTATTACTTGTAATTTTAATAGTTCACCGACCTTTGCATAAATGAAGTAAATTATATATTCTACATTTCTTAAACAATGCATAAATACCTTACTTATAGACTAACAGGTCACATTCCATGATGTGTTTTTTCCTCTGTTTGGATTTCCCTCCAAATTGCGCTAGATATTACCTTTTCATTCGGAGGTATCTTGTGTTATCGTACATACATATACGGAGAGATAAAAAAAGTTGTTTTTTTTTTTAAAATAAAGTTTAATTACCTTAATTATAGTGTAACCAGCTTCTAAAAATTATATTTTTCTATAAAATTGTTACCATTTATTTTTCACTAGCAGATTGTTTTATTGTTATAAGAAATATTTCGTCCGTAAAATGCAAACCGGAAGTAGATGTATCCCATCCGAAGTCTTAAAATGTGTTGAAGTAATTATCGATGAATAAATGAGCAGTTTACAACAAAGGGTTTTTATTGGAGTTTTATGAAGAGACTTACTTTTAC